TAATAATTCTCAAAAATAAATCAAAGGGTAAAGAAAAAGTACAAGAAGTACAACAAGATTTTCAAATATTTACACTCCCATAAAATGTTCAAGATATTAATTTATTGTCTCAAATCTCATATCAAAAGTGGAATGTAAAATTTAAAAATTGTGATTATTAAAGAATCTATTCTTTATACAATAGCATTAATGGATTCTGGAACTGATCTCAATTGTATCGAGAAGGGCTCGTGCCCATAAAATATTTTAAACCTACAACAAAAAGATTATCCTCTGCCAATGGATCTCCTCTCAGAATAAAATACGAAGTTTCAAAAGCCTATGTATGCAATCAAGGAATTTGTATCAAAACCCCTTCCTTTTGGTAGGCAATTTAAATAGTGAAGTAATATTAGGAACCCCATTTCTAAATTTATTACAACTCATGATTGTATCCAACAAAGGAATACCTATAATAATCAATGATCAAGAAATTATATTTGAATTTCTGAATCCACCAGATATAAGAGTTTTAAATTATTTAAAAAGTCTAGCAATATACCCTAAAGAACAAATTAATTCAATAATAAGAATAATCTCTCAAGGAAAAATAATTAAATTTATTAAAAGATGAAAAAATCGATCAAAATATTCAAAATAAATTGATAGACAAAAATATGCAATTAGCAATTTCGATCTTTCAAGAAAATTAATAAAAAAAGCCTCTTCAAATTTACCAAATGCCTTTTGAGAAAGAAAAAAGAATATAGTAAGTCTACCATATACAAAAGATTTTTCATAATCTCAAGTAAAACAAAGCAAGACCAATCCAAATGAACAAAGAATTACTTGAATATTGTAAAAAAGAAATTCAATATTTATTAGATATAAAATTAATAAGAAAAAGCTAATCACTATGGAGTTGTACTGCTTTTTATGTTAACAAAAATGCTGAAATAAAAAGAGGAACTCCAAAACTTGTTATCAATTACAAACCTCTCAATGATGCTTTACAATAGATAAGATATCCCTTACCAAATAAACAAGATTTATTACAAAGATTAACTAATACAAGAATTTTTTCCAAATTTTATTTAAAATCAGGATTTTGGCAAATCCAAATAAATGAATTTGACAAGTACAAAATAACTTTTACTGTTCCTTTTGGCTAGTATGAATGGAATGTAATGCTTTTTGGTCTAAAAAATGCTACAAGTGAATTTCAAAGAATAATGAATGATATATTCAACCCTTGCACTAATTTTACAACTGTATACATTGACGATATGTTGATTTATTTTGAAAATATTCAATCTCATTGGAAACATCTGGACACGTTCCTTTACATAATCAAGAAAAATGGTTTAGTTTTATCACTAACAAAAATAAGCTTTTTTCAAACAAAAATAAGATTTTTAGGTCATTACATGAATCAAGACACAATAGTACCAATTGAAAATGTTTTAATTTTTGCTGATAAATTTCCAAATGAAATTAAAGATAAAAATCAATTACAAAGATTTTTTAGGTGGTCTCAATTATATTAGTGACTACTTTGAAAAATTAAGCTAAATAACAGCACCATTTGGGCATAGACTTAAGAAAAATTCACCAGCTTGGTCTTCAAAGAATACCAAAATAGTCAAATAAGTAAAAGTGTATCTAAAAACTCTCTCGTGTCTACACTTAGCAGATCCAAAAGCCTACAAAATTATAGAAACTGATGCTTCTGATATAGGTTATAGAGGTATCCTTGAGCAGAGACCTTTAGGACATACTGAAGAACAATTAGTTAGGTTCACGTCAGGAACCTAGAACCAAGCCCAAAGATACTATAGTATTGTCAAAAAAGAAATTTTTGCAATTATTTTATGTATTTCAAAATTTTAAAATGATTTGTTAAATCAAGAATTTTTAATAAGAGTTGAATGTAGTACAACAAAACATGTTTTGCAAAAAGATGTTCAAAATATTGTATCAAAACAAATTTTTGCAAGATGGCAAACAATTTTATTTGTTTTTTACTTTAAAATTGAATATATTAAAGGGGGAATCAAATTCCATTTCTAATTTTCTAACTAGAGAATTTTTACAGGGATGCCCAGTCCAATAAAATGCCACCCAAAAAGAACACCTTCACTCACAAGCCAGCCTAAACAGCCAACCAAAAAACCACTAAAGTCTCTTATGCTTTGTCAATAACCCAAACACCTGCACCCCAAACTATCCAATTAAGGTCAATCTCTAAAAAGATTGGTATGCAATTACATTACAATAAGAATAAGAGCAAGCCTACAAAAATATGGACAATTAGGGCCATTCACTAGAACTACCTCTATGGCAAGAACCATTTCCCAATCATTTGCAAAAATTGTGGTTGTAAAGCCATAGTCTAGGAAAGCATCCAGCTCTTCCGCCATTCAAAAACAAACTTCAAGCACCCAACATTCTTCTCAAAAATCTCAATATTTTACAAAAAATTTGTTGTTAACAAAAATTGTTTTATTAGAAATTTTTTTTTGGAATGAAGATACCTCAAAAATCCCATCAAAAGTTTTCCTTCCAAGATTCCAACTTATTGCTTCCACTGTTTCCAAAACCCAAAGGTTCTCTGAATTTATTCTCACAGACACTGACTCAGTTTCAATCAAACATTATCTTGATAATCAGGATTCAACCCAAATTGCTTATTCAACTTGCCAAATCTATCAAATTTTGACTCCGGAACAGTGGGGTCAACATTCAAATCAAAACAGAAAATTTTCTCAAAATTTTTCTCCTCCAATTTTTAATTACCAGGACTATAGAATAGCTTGGTACAATGTTTTTCTTTTTCAAAATAAATCGTTCAAACATTCTTGAATGATTTAATTTATCTAATAATTCAATTCCAATCTTAATCCAAATTGGTTTCCACTTGGTGGTTTTATTATGGTCCACTAGCCCAAATTCTTCCACCTTTAGCCTAAGAAAGGCTCAATATTTTTCAGGAAAAATTCAAAATCCTTACTTCATTGCCCAACTCCCAATTCTCTTTTATTTTTTCTCAAAATTTTGTTTGGCTTTGATAGTATCTTGGTAATATACTATCCTTCAACATGACTTTCCATATCTTAGAGATCTTTCAAAATCAAGTGGTGGGACCAATTCAATTTTGAAGTTGTCCTCTCACTAAATATTTTGAAATTCTTCCAAAATTTCTCAAACCAATCTTGCTATTCTAACCACAAGTGACTCACAATTTCTTCTACAAAAATCTAAAAATATTGCTGAATTGTCATCAGCAAAATTTAAAAAAGATTATAAACGTTTAATTCTTCAAACCTTTTAATCCTTCTCTGATTTAGATGATGATGAGAGTACCCAATCACCTTCCTTTTGTTCTCAATCCCTTTCAATTGATTTGGCTCAAGATAATGAGGATGATCGTTTTGGCATCCTCCCACCTATCCAGTAATCACCAAAAAGATCCAGTTTGTCAAAAGCCAAGACTAAGGGTAAAAGTAAGAAATGAGTAGATAGTGTTTACTCTTGCCCAAATTACCTTGCTTAAAAAAAATAACTCTTCAATGATCTCATCTATACACAAGGCAAAACAAGAATCGTGACATGCAAAGTATTCACACATGCAAAACGAGCAATGTCATGACAAAATGGATACTATTCCAAAGTCAATGGTTGTGACAAAAGATTCAAGAGGTTCAAGTGGTTCAAAGCTGCAAATTTCATTCGCAAAGCCACTATTTCAAGCACGTAAAAGTTGCATCAAAAGATTCAAAGCTATCAAGTGTAAATTATTCCCGACAAGCACACGCATGGGATTCCTGACAAAAGCTGTCGAGATTCCTCAATCAAACTTGCAAAAGAAATAGAATTCACGTGATTAATGTTACTGTAAACAAATTGTATTTCATTCTGTTTCAAGTTCGATGTCTATAAAAGGAGATATTCGGAATTTGTGAATGCATCATTTGGCTTTCGCTTAAGAAACCATTTGAGCCTCAATCTCTCTTGTACAGCCAAAATTGTATTCTCAATTTTATTCAATACAACAATTCCAATTTTATTTGAAGTTTTAATTATTGCAAGTATTTCAGTTTATGCTGTTCAATATCTGTATTTTATTTTTGTAATCAATATCTTTTTTTAAATTTTTTTATTTTAGATTATTTGTTTTCAAAAATATTATCTAGTTCTTGAGCTTACTTTGGTATCAGAGCCAGTCTTATCTACTACTTGGGAATGATGTGCGCTGATTGAATGGGATATCCCTTTTGGCTCAAGTGAAATATAATTTTTTGATCATTGAATATTATACATATTCCTTTACTGGATACAGTCATGGGTTGTAATAAATTTAGAAATGGGGTTCCTAACATTACTTTCCTATTTAAATTGCTTACCAGAAGGAAAGGGTGATATTAATTTAATAAATATTAAAAATTTTAATTTATTAAATTAATTTATAATATTTAATATAAATCTTTGTAATTTTAGAGGTTTGCCTCAATAAATGTTTAAAAAATGTAATTCTTGTTAATATTTTTTTACTTGATTTGCTGATAAATGTGTCATTTTGTTATAATATTATGTTTAAAAATTAAAAAAAGAATATTACTTAAATATATATTTTAACGTATATTTCATCCTATTAAAATTTTTAAATTTGTTATTGGCAGTAGCATACGGTAGGACAATTTTTATAAATAAAATGAATTTTTACACCATTTACATGCGAATAAACACCTCATGTAAATTCTAAATTCTAAAACTTAGCTTTTGGTTGGTTATTACAATAAATGGCCTAATTAAACGTGCAATTGACTCGAGAAGGAAGGGAGAAAACTGTCATTCAACCTCCATCACTCCATCACTGCACACGTGACTATCACGTGCGTCAATGCCTCATCCGGCCATTTCCAAATATCTCTTGGAAAGACCTCGATGGGTCGCATATTCAAGCCCTAAACCGAGTACCCTGTGTTCTGCAGAATCATTAGCAACGCAGTAAGCAAGGAGAGATGGGAGTAGAGAAGCAACTCCTCAGAGCTGGAACCGGTCCCAAACCGGTCGCTGGTCAGACCGTCACCGTCCACTGCACCGGTTTCGGTTAGCACCCTTCCTTATCCTCCTCTACAGTTGTATCAAAATATGAGTTTGAGTCAATTTGTCCCAGATTGATCTCTCTCTCTCTCTCTCTCTCTCATTATTTTTTTCCAATCACTGACCGCAGGAAAGAATGGTGATCTTTCTCAGAAGTTCTGGAGGTACATGACCAATTTCGGCTGCTTATAATTTGTTTATTTTTTTTTTATCTCGTGGGATTAAATTTATGGCTTGAGTCGCGGTTTTTACTGCCGAGTTTTCTAATCTTACCTCGCATTGTGCTTTTATTACTTGTGTTAGCACGAAGGACCAAGGGCAGCAGCCATTCAGCTTTAAAATTGGCCAAGGTTCTGTTATTAAAGGTAACTTCTGTTATTATGATTGTTAATTTCGAATATGTGTAAATGATATTTGGTCATTAGGTTCCCGTAGAGTTGAATGCCCTTGAATGATAACACTTGCATTGTTCTGTATATATTTTTAATAATTCTCTTTGTGTTTACGTTGGGAATTATGTGCAGCTTTTAAAAGATTGGTACCTCTTGCCAAAATTGAAAAATTTTTAAAACACAAAATTTATGTTTAGGAAACGCATTTCCCACTCCCACTCTCCCACTCCTTAGCTGTTTCTGAAAATTCTGTTTTTCATAACAATGTAACTTCATCTTCAATTGGATATTTCCTCCCATGACTGATTTCATCTTGAACTTTTCTTTTTACATTCGGGAGCAAGTGGTGTGCAAGATATAGCATTGGCTTTGATTCTTCTTTCAGTTATTGTTGTTGTTGTTGGAAATTGAAAATAGGGGAAAAAAATTGTAAGGAGCAATGTTAATCAATGTAAAATATTGATTAGATTGGTGGGGTAGATAAGATCCTTTTAAGGTTTCACGATACATTTCTCCTAGATAAGATTTCTTTTTCTATTGGTCCTTCAGAAAGTATCACAACCTCCCGGATGAGATTTCAGCTCTATAAGGTTATCTTCTGTTCCTTGACGCAAAGATCACCATTTTTTTAAGTGATTCATGGATTATGGCTGTCCTTTATCATTTGCTATAGGTGTATCTCGGTTTCTATTATTATAAATTATCAGGGACCTACTTTACTATAACACATTATTATGAACTAATAAGTGGTGGCCCTTAACTTTAATTAGTATTGCATATAAATAGTTGAGATGAATGTGTGCAAGTTAATTATCTCTATTTTTCTTCAATGAACACAAGCAACTTGTATTCCGTGTTGGCATGATTGGTTCAGTTGTGACGTCCCCATGAAAGGGAAAAGAGTTTGAAAAGTGTGTGTGCTGTGTGCCCGTGCATGTACGAGGGTATATAGGCTTGTGAAAGCAATATAACTTATGCATGAACTTTCTTTCATGGTCTGATAGGAGCTAGACTGGTAAATTTGATCCTTTTCTTTAATGTCGTTTTGTCATGCTGGTGATCATGGTATGGTGGCTATTGAATCTATAAGGGAAACAATTTGATCTTTGACAGATTTCTAGATACCTTGACTTGAAGACATTGCTTATCTGAACAAGTGGTATCCTATTAGATTTAGTATAAACATGGTTCCACGGATTTTGTGTCTTATTTGGGTATAATTTATGATGTCTCAGGCTGGGATGAAGGTGTAATGGGAATGCAGGTGGGCGAAGTCGCTCGGTTGCGGGTATGTTATAACTTCTGGTTGCCGTATTCTTTTTGTTTAATATATAAGATTTGCTAACCGAATCAGATAAATAATATATATCTCTAACTAATATGGTTCTGATTTAAAGATTCTGGTAAACATTAAATCATTTTTATGCATTTATTGCTGTTTCTAGTTTATCTAAATCTTGTTTATTGAACTGTGCAGTGCTCTCCTGACTATGCTTATGGTGCCGGTGGTTTCCCGGCATGGGGTATTCAGCCCAACTCAGTTCTGGATTTTGAGATTGAAGTTCTGGGTGTGAAGTAATTGCCACTGGAAATCATAATCTTCGGTGACTATATGATACGTAACTTTTATATCATGTTCTACTAAAAAATAAGTATGTCGCTTGAACTTCTGCATGACAGTCTCTGAATCAATGTTAAAGAAACGCGTTATTCTCCTGTTGCTCTCTTTTGTGTTGAAGTGTGTTGTATTGCATTTAATCCGAGAAATTGGTAAGTTGAGTTTATTACTTTATACAGCAGGTTCGGTTTAGGAATTGACTTGGAAATAAGAGAGTTCCAGATTTAATTCATCACCGGTGCGTTTGTTTACACTGTGTTTGGTAGTAAAAAAGAATGGGATTTGAATTGGAATTGGAATTGGAATTAGATTTGAAATTTCATGAATTTCCAAACCAAATCCCGTTTTACCGTTTGGCAAAAAGCAAACTTTTGGGCTCTTTTATCACGAAATGTAAAAAAGTTTCTTTTGCATGGAATCTAAATTTTTAATTTGAGTAACGTGTAACCATGACGAAAATATCATAATTAGAACTGAATCAGGTATATTTATATAAAATGCGAAAGAATAAATGAAAAAAGTATTTAGATGTTGCTATTAAAGAATAATCTATTGAATCCCAGAGCTCTTTTTTAGGAGATACTAAATGTTACTTCCAGTTCCAGGGAATCCGAATCGTCAAGACTAACAAAATAAAATAAAACATTAAATGAAGGAAAAGAAACTAAAGAAAGCTGTTGTCCTCTATTGGATGAAAGGGTTTCAACTATAGCCTCAGCCCTGGAGTCATAACTTTTACAAAAGCGGCTTTTCTTTCCAGCTTTTATCGGGAAAAAACATTGATAAAATCCCTCTTGGCTTTCAGATTTCACAATTAAATTATATCTATGAAAGTGACAATATGTCGGCAAATCCCTTATGTCACCCAAACAAAGTTTATTGTTAATGAATGACAATGATGCCTTCAGTCCATCCATCCCTTCTTATTATGCTCACGAGAGTTTAATCACCCATCATCCATGTAATTGGAAACAGCCTAAGATTACTCTGCTGGGGATAGTGGCGATCTAAACAACCCACATTAACAAATAAATTATTTATTAAGTGATTATGACAATCATTATCTTATGGCAAACCCGTCAATCCCGGCTTTTTGTCTGAGCTAAATTGGGGTTGCCACCCTAAGGGCAGACCATAATAATGAGAGGAATGAATTGCACCACTCACATTTACCCTGTTCTCTCCGGTGGAAGCAAAAGATTTCAACTTTGTTGTTCAGATTTTTTTTTTTTATTTTCTAATTCTTATAGATTTGAAATTTGTCTTCCCATAAATAGTTCATTTTATATACAATCATATTAATTAAATTTAAATTTAAATTCTTTTTAATAAATTTAAATAACCATAAAAATATAAAAATAAACATAATTGACCCATTTCTCAATCAAAATAGACAGCCAAAACCCTGTCAGTGTGTGGTCTTATTCTTCAGTGCCATAATGGTTGGATTATTTGGCAAAATTGTATTGCACTTGTGCTTCTAATTTCTTACTACACGTGGTGCACTAATATTGGGCATCTCCCAGCCCCAATTGACAAAATGCTTTTGAGTGCAAATTAATTGAATGGAGGATGGGATTATAACATGGAGTTGGCTCACTCGATTGCACCCCAATCATTCACCCCGTGCCCTCCAGATGCACTGACCTCTTCATTTGCTGGGCCCAAGCGAGCAGAGGCTAAGAGCTACGGCCTAATAGCATGTGGGTTGTTGATTGCAAATTATGGTCATGTAGTGAGCAGTTTTTTTCTTTCTTCCTTTCTTTTTCTTTTTAATAAATAAATTAGCCTAAAATTTACCATCAAGTCAAGTGTTAGCCTAGGCTCTGTTTACTGCCTGGATCTGTCGGTTTGATTAGTTTACAGTTTTAACGATAATTTTTCATTAAAAATTAAAATTAAAATTGTTTAAGAACTAATAAAAAATTAATTAATTTTAACTTTTTTATTTAAAAATAATATATTTATAATTTTATTTAAAATTTATATTTTAGATTAATTTAATTATAAATGTATTATTTTTAAATAAAATTATATATATATAAGAAATATAAATATTATTATAAAATTAAAAATATATTATTTAATTTATTATAATTTGTATTATAATATATTTATAATTTTATTTATATTATTGTATTGCATTATTATTATAATTTTATTTAAATTATATAAGAAATATAAATATTATTTAATTAAAAAATAATATTTCTTATTTATATATAAATTAGAAATATTATTTTTTAATTAAATAATATATTATTATTAAAATATTTTTTATTATCAAATCCTGATTCAATAATTTTATCAATTTAATTATCTGTCCAAATTTTAACATCTTGATGCGGGGACGAGAACATTTAAATTTTTAATAAATTTGACAAATGTTAACGTTGAATGTCATAAATTTTTACTTTGTTATAAATATTAAATATTTATAATTCAGAATAGCCTATCTTTTCTTTTCACATTTAATTTAACAAAAAGAATGAAAGAATAAGGACAAGAAAAAGAGTTTTAATGTTGTAAAAAGTTTCGAGTTTCAGTTTAATAATTATTTTTAGAAAAAGAATAGTAAAACTCCAACTAAAGATTAACCAAGGAAAAGGAGGGGTGATTTCGTAAATTTAATTGTCTATATAATGTTCCCACTCCTGTGTGGCATTCCTTCTTGACGGAATGTTCATGTGCTGCGGCCAATGTACTGCTTAGAGCTGCTGTTCTTCTCCCCCTTCTATACCTTCTCTGCATAACATATTCAGAAACTTTTCGCGGTGTATAAGATTCGATTTGCCGAGCCTGCGATCTATCTACTTGGATCTCTGGTGATCAAAACAGATCTTGTCGGACTCTTCTTGAGTTCTCACTGTAAGCCTGTTTTGGCTTCAAGTTTTCTTTCTAGGCTTTCAACTTTTGCTTCGGACTTTTCTGGGTTTCTGTCATTTTTCCCCATTTTGATTTGCTCCTTTAGAAATTATCATGGATTTTGCTCTATCCTGCGTTTGGTTGCTGATAGAATTTCTGGGATTTATTTTGCTCGCAGTTACGCCCAAGTCAGCCAGGAGTTTTTTTTTTTCCCTGTCCTTTTCCTTTGGTTTCATAGCAACCAACCAAAAATTGAATATTACTAATTTCTATTCTGCTGCATCAAAATTACTTCTTTGGTCTGCTTCCTTATTTTGTGATGCTTTTACTGTCTATGGTTTTCAAATGATTTATGTATTATTACGGTTTTCGTAGGAATTTATATGTGAACACCCATTTTTCTTGCTTTCTTGCCTTTCTGGTAAAAGCACAAATCTTTAATTAGTTTTTATTTAAACAGAAGATAATTCTCTGTTTAAGATGAAGCGTGGACTTGAATTAATTTTGGGACTTATAAAAAGGGTGTAGTCAATTCCATTTTCTTTGCAATTCCCGAATATCTAATTCTGTTTTATCCATTAATTAACTTAGTGTTTGATGTTTCTTTTTTCATTCATCTAGATCCTCTATTTATAGATATTTTAACATGGTCATTGCCCTTGTAGATTTCTTGATAGACAGACCTACACCAACAGTTTTGGCTTCTCCGTTGGTTCATAGAAGTACGGCACCATGCGGTGGTTCAGTTTGTCAATTGATGTGTTTCGCAAAGCCATCTCCTTGAACTTATTTTGCGGGTTATTTTATAAGTTGCTACCTCTCCATTGATCTAATTAATTCTGTTCTCTTGTTTTTCTTATCAAAGGGATGCAATCAATTTTAGTTTACTCATTGTTGAATGCACTGGATTAGCTAAATAGAGAAAACTTGAACCCCTAGTCTCCATCATAGACTTTGTGCAGTTCCATAGAATTTCTTAGAACCTAACCTTCCATTGATATACATCCCTATCTTGGTACCTTCTGCACTGGTTTCTCCTATATCTTGTCCATTTATTTCAATAACCGAGAGGAGAAAGAAGTTATGGTGTGCCAAGCAGCAAGTCAAACAGATTCCGGGCATTAAAGCATGAGAATGGGATTGCAGGGAGAGCTACTATTATAGTTAGAGTGATCGCATGTTTTCAACCTTTGCAAGATTGCCAGGTATACTTAAAGAGTGATGACTAATTTCCAATTTTTTATTTTGTTGTTCTGTGTAGTTTTTTTCTCTTTTCTTGCTTTACAAGTTTGGACTTACCAACAAATTATTTCATGATTTGCTGAATCGTATGTTTCTAGATGATGATGGTGATTGAGAATTATCCGGTTTTTCTTCCTTTCAGGCTGAGTACTTTCGTCATTTGCTCAAACCTGTTACGTAAATTGTGCCCAAATTTCTGACTTCCACGTCGAGCTGCAAGTTTTGTTCTGTTTTTCCTTTTCATTCCTTGTTCCGGAAGGTGATTTCATATTATAGATATACAAATATCTATACTCTGGTGTGTATCTTGTTACCTTTCTTGGAACTATAAGAAAAATTAATTTTTGTTTCTTTGTGGGGATTTTAAGTGATAATCACATTAATAATCTTGTCCAGGTGACTTGCTTTGGCTGGATGGTTAAGGCTGAAGACTCTCTGTTGTTTCAGCAGCATTCTGGTTGTGATTTGCCCAAATTGAATCGGCAAAACCATTTTTGGCAATCATACATGAATCATGGCACAGCTTCTGCTGATGTGGCTTCCCCAAGAGGTGGAGTTTCTGGTATACATGGTCTTGGGATGGGCCAAACTTATGGAGTTCACGCATTGTTTCAGCATTTGCCTCCTCGCTTTGGTAGTTTGCTGTCTCCTTTGAACCCTCATGTCAAGGGAGAACTTTATGCATCAAATGCCTTACACGAGGCTACACAGAAAAGGTTTGCCATATTCGATCAGTCTGGGAATAACACAAGATTGTTTTTGAGTCCACTCTGTTATCCGGTCAAGAATCTGACTCCTGGACTGTCAAAATCTCTGAATGCTCATGGTTTTCATGATGAAGGGCAGACAGCTAAAGTGGAGCTAAAGTTTCAACCTTCCCAGCTATCCAAGAGAAGTCTGATGAGATTAAAAAATAATGGCGAGGGAAGTGAGATGCATGAAAACACAGAGGAAATCAATGCTTTGCTTTACTCTGATGATGATGATGGTGGGGATGATGATGATGATGATGATGGTGGTGGTGGTGATAGTGAGGAAGATGAAGTAACAAGCACGGGTAGGTCTCCTTTTGTCATTGAAGCTAGTTTAAGAAGCGTGAACTCGAAGAGGAGGTTACACTTGAATTTGCTATGTCAGATGGTGCAGTGAAAAGGCAAAGATTGATTGATGGTGAGCACAATAGATCATCATTTACAAGCATGGTGAATTCAGGGCAATTAGACGGCTTATGCAATTATGATGGTGATGCACAATCAATTTCTGCAAGATGCAAGAAAGATAAGATTCGCAAGACACTGAAAGTTCTTGAAAGCCTCATTCCTGGTATAAAGAGCAAAGACCCATTATTGGTTATTGAAGAAGCTATTAGTTACTTGAAGTATCTGAAGCTGAATGCTAAAGCTTTAGGAGTTGTCTAGCTATATTTAAAGAGAAGCCCCCTTTCCATAATAATACATGGGGCGGAAAGGAGGAAGGTAAAGGGTAGCAAATCAAAAGAATTCCCATCCGAAATGATTTGTTGATTTCAAATTCGGAGGCTGGCTTTCGTTTAAGCCTTCTGATTTCCCTCTGAACTTTTTTTTACTCTAGTGCAGTATGAAGAAAATGGAGCTTGTTTCCAGAAATGATTGGTTTTATGCTTTTAAAGGGTTTTGAGCTGGAAAGAAAGTCAATACTAGAAGGCGTGGCTGTCTTGGTCGTAGGCTGTGCTGTAAATTAGGACCCGTTTCGGCATTGTTGATAACCCTCATGGATCAGAGAGCATGCGCATTAGGTAATATGGGCCCCACGCTTAGCCCACCTTTGCCTTTTGCTCAAATAAATAAATGAATCTTGGCTTGCTGATTTTTTGTTTTTCCCACTTGATACCCTCCTTCCCTCCTTTCTCTTTATTTATATCCAAGGAAGTGCTAATCTAAAGCATGATGATAAGCTGTCTAGGAGGGCCCTCCATGATCAAATATTGAAAGAAAGTCGTCGGTCGTTTGATGGTTGTTGGGCTTTACTGTGGTTTGTGAGGTTGCAGTTTCTTCTCCTTTGTAGTTTTTGTAAAATGATTGTGGACCTTTGTGAGCTGTGTGTGCCGATAATAAGAATTTCCCAGTTCCAGACGTGAATTTGTGGTGTTGACGCTGGACTGGGTGTGAAGTAGGTTAATCCGATTGTAACCAAGTCTAGTTTGATAATTACTAGTTGGTGTGTTTGTGTGTTGTTCTATTATGATGTAATACTGTGTTTGAATTATATAGATTACGAGTCTTTTGCTAATTATCTGCCGTTAGTATTTTGAACTGTGTGAATGATGTCGGAGCTATGTTATCTCTTCCACAGTGGGTAATTTCGTGCAATATGCTTTTACTTTATTTATGTGGGACAATTTCTGTTAATTCTGTCTATAGCATTTTTTTTTTCTTTTATAGTTTTTTGAGGAGAGAAATTTAGGGCCAGCTTGGTTTGCAAAAATATTTTTTATTTTTATTTCTTAAAAATGATTTTTATTTTTAGTATTTTAAATTTTAGGGAATACGTTTGATCTATTTGCTATTTTTTGTTTAAAAAATGAAAATAAAGAAAGCGTATTAAGTTTATTAATTTTTAAGAAAGTGAAAATAAATTTTCAATTAAATAAATTTAAATTTTAAATTTTTTTAACATAGGCTTAAACGAAAAGTAAGTCGTTCCTTAAGCTTAGGTGTGCGGGGATGCTTAAAGCCCCCAGTGAAAGAAACATGTCCACACGCGCGCGCGCGTGTGGGCACTTAACAAGTAGGTCTATAGAAGCATGCTTTATCATAAACTAACCTTTTTGATTTTCCAAACTGGTAATCACTTATTTTTTCAAATTATCATTATAATAATATAATTATTTTAATACCTGAATGTTTAAAGTAATTTTTATTTTTGTTTGATCATTTAACTTTTGAAATTATATATTTAACTTTTTAATTCAAAAATACAATGAAAGCAATAATATTATCTTAATTTTTGACCCTTTGAATAGAAATTTAAAAATTATAAGATTTTGATTTTATTGACCTTTTGAATTAAAAAGTTACAAATATAAATTTAACAAAATTAGACAACCAAAAAAAACAAATATATGACATTTTTATTTTATTTACTCTTTTTTCTTGGTTAGAAGTCTAATTGTCACATGAACATTATCCACTTTCAAAAAAATATGCATATAACTAATATATAATATTTTCCCTTATAAGTCAATATACTTTTTTTATTATATATAATATAGAATTTACTTTATTTTCTTACATTCCAACTCTTGACATTCTTGTTAAAGTGATTCATACAATCCACTTATTTATCCTTTTTAAAAATATTTAACCGTTAAATTCATCTTTTCAAATTAATTTTAAAATTACTTATTACGAAATTACATCACACTTTGAAAAATTATACAACACCTCTGTTATAACCATGTCATTCATAGCATCTTCAACATAAGTATGATATTTTGGATTTAAAACTCACCCAAACGGGAAAGCCCATGAACTAGTTCGCGCCAAAATGCCAGTGACCAGGCTATAACCTGCTTCCCTCATTGTTTTCGTGTTTATGTCCCCAATACCGACCCACCACGATATTCATTAACATGTTCAATGCTGAACTAAAAGAATTGGAGCAGAGGTTTCCTTCCGAATTTCTCGTGTTACCATTGGCCCTGCATTTTACCTCATGATATCAGTCCTTTTTCAACGTGGTTTTTCCCCCCTTTATTTTTGTGCTTAAATTTTGGGTGTCTCTGTGAATGGCCCACTGACATTGCTGATTTTCTATTCAACCGGATTTTAAAATTGGCGAATTGTGTTAGAGGGGTTTGTTTTACCTGGGTTGTTTCTTTTGATGGCAGACAACTTGAAGTGCAGCGTCTTTTTCTTGTGCCTGTGATCGCTACTGCAGAGGTGTTTGATAAAAGTCCAACGACAGTTCAATCCTCACTTTTGACTGCAATGTGGCCCTTCCTTTCCCTGTGAATGGTGCAAGTGGTCTGGTTTCAAATCTCCAATGCTATTTAGTAGCTAAGATGATGTTTCATTTATGCATCCTTGTTCTTGGTTGGAGGGGAAATGGATAGCCTTGTACAAAAGCTTATTGCAGGATCGGTAAGAAAGAACAACACTCAGAACTCCCGGATCACCTTTTCCTTATCTTGTTACAAGGTGGGATTTCAACAACAGCAGAAACTATACAGTCAACAAAGAAGCAACAAAAAATATCAAGGGCTAGAAAATGCAAGCATGAATATGAGAATAGAAAAAAATATATATATTTTTACGTGGAAAACCTTTGAGGGAAAAAACCACAGGATGTTCCTGGTAAATATTCACTACTTGGAACAATGAATTTGACAGATAGTTTCCTTTCTTCTTTCGGATACTATATCCTTGGCTATAAAGACACAAATGCATCGCTCTAGGTGGATATAAACAAGTAGTATAGGACTGGGACTCACCGAGTGGGAACATAGAATCATTTCCAGCTCTTGCTGCTGGGGGTGACATACTAAATCTCATGAGGATTGGAACACAGATCAACAGTAGAAGATGAAAGGCTAAAAGCTCTACTCCCCTGCATGAGATCCACAACCTAGTCTTCCTTTCACACTGCAACTCTTCTGACCCATGGAAATCCCAAAAGCCAATCCTGAGTTTTCAATGTAGAGAGAGATAGAGAGAGAGAGAGAGAGAGAGAGAGAGAGAGACATGTTTGTCCCTCAACACCTGAGGAAGAGCCCTAACAAAAACATTAATTGAGGGACCTTTAGAGAGGGGTGGGGACAGAAGGCTGCAAGAGTGGATAACTGAAGGAAGGATACAAGAGGTACTGACAATGCCATCTCTCTTGGTCATAGTGACAGACCAATCTTAGCCTCTGGAATAGCTATAGGTCAAGATTTACAGCATAAAAGAGAGAGTAATTGTTAATTAAGTTGTCCATGTCTCTACAAGCTTAAAAGTTTTCGTTGAGATAGTGGTAAACAGTTTAATATGGATTAGAGCTAGCAAAAGATACTATCTTCAGGTTTTAATATATACCAATTTAAAAAATTTTCATGTGTTGACCTATGTGTGACTGTGTCAAGTAATAAAGACTGTAGGAACCCCTCTCTCTACAAGTTTTAGCTTTTAGTAAGATGGTAGTTTAATAGCAATCTATGAGCCTCAAGCAGGAAAAGAGAGATTTTTAATTATTGCTCTTCAACAAGCAGCCAACAAATCAAGCCACAATTTTGATCTTGAATTTTGGAATATACTAAGATTTTGTGAAGAACAGAACACAAAACATCATCTGAAACTTGAGTAGGAGGGCAGGGACTAAACAAATCTCTTCTCCTTTAGACTCTCACCTTGCTTTCTTTTACAATGCTTGTCTTTAGGCTCACAGGTGCCTCCAAAACCAACGTTGGGCTCTGGGATATCTCTGGGTCAGAAGAGGATTTTTCTTTCTTTTCTATCGTTTTATTATTATTAATTTATTTTTTTAACTGTGGTTAACAAGATTTGTAGCATACAAGTGAAAGGATTGTATGGACCTTATGCTACAACTCTTATGACTCAGACATTCCAAAGGCCAAGGTTGACCTTCCAATATGGCAAAAAGTGGGGCCATATTGGCCCCTCTCACATCTTTGTTTTCCTTTTTTATATTTTATATAAATTAAAGTACCTCGTGGCTTCTCTCAAACCAACATTGGATTGGCTGATTAAACAGTGAAGTTAAAGTTACTTTCATTTTTTGCAAATTTTTTTTTTTTTGGAAAATCGGCACCTGTAAATTTGAAGATCTTGCCTGATCAACTTTATGTGATTTTGATGGTGCACTTAATTTCAAAGATAGATTTGGTATTTTCTTTTATTTTAGTTAAAAAAAAGTAGTAAGAAAAACTTGGAGCATGGAAACTATAGAATTGGCCAACATGGAAGTTGTCCTCATAAACAGTGTTTTCTGTCATGGTTCCATACTAAAATTTCTTCAAGTGCATGATGAACTTTTCAAGGCCAGAAATAATGTTTACTGGCTTTGTGTGTGTTTATGTATAGGTTTCTTTAATTTGCGTCCTTTGTCTTTATGTTTCACAGTTTATTCCACTCCCAGAAAACTCTCATGAACACAGTTTAATGATGTGTGAGAGAAAATTATGTTAGTCTCGTGAGGAACGGGGACAAAGGATATTTTTATAATCACCTTAAAGGGACCAACTTTTAGTTCTACAAATACACCTATTTATTCCAACTATGTTTCCTTAAATATATATTTTCCATGTGGCACACAGAAGTCTGGCATAAAAATGATTATAACACAACACGAATTTAGGGTAACTATATAATAGAAGTATTTGTCTGTCTATATGTGTACTTGAAATTTGTTGAAATATTAGTGCCGCTATTTTGTTCTTCTG